TTTTTAATTAACCAGAAAATTTCGGAGCACTCACTTTCTTTAAGATAAATTATGAATACATGCAACACAAATTTGAAACCGAGTGTTTAAGTACTTTGAAAATGTTAAGATAAAGTCATAGTGCTGGTATTGAGAGCAGCCAATCTCTCTTTGAACTTTAAATTCATGTAACAAACCGAGATTGAGTCTCAAATTCACTTGTTAATAACTAAATTCAATTTGAACCAACCTAGATTATCTCAAATATTATGATACTGAATTTGGCCTTAGTTTAAATCAAAGTGAAGATTTTATTAATTTTTCTCACAATAATGACTTGTAGGAAAATTATTATTGGCCGTCGATTGTGCCAAGCCAGCTTACCAGCAGGCCCTACCACCACCCACCTCTCCCAGAAAACACGGTACGTAGATCCATACCGTGACACCAATGGCATTTGCTTATGGGATTAAATAACTATGATGTACCAAAAATAAATCATTAAACAAATAACTATTCATTTAAGTTATTAATATAAACTTTTTTTTTTTTTTACAAAGGATTTGTAATTCAAGTGATTAAGAGCATTTATTCATACTTTCGATTTCCCAGTCTCTAATATCGCTTGTATAAAATTAAAAAATAAATTTCTTTGAGGTATTTTATTAATAGAAACTTGAGTACGGTGTGAAAGTGATCAAATGAGATTATAAATTTAAAGCATACCAAAAAAAAAAAAAAAAAAAAAAAAGTGACCTTACAAACTTGTCCGGAAATATCCTAGCGACTCTAAAAAATGACCTATAAAAAATAGCTATAGGTAAAACCTACAAGGACAAAAGCGAATAAAATTGTGATGCAATGATATAGGATGGTAGGGGACAAGAAAAAATGGCCAAGTCATTTGGAAGAGAATGAGTTCATATCTCAACATTTATCAGTGTCAACAGTAAAAGTTCTGTAGATAGAAAAATAAATTCCCTCACTTTTTCTGTCTGACAAAATAAATCGTATAGATTCTAAGATTGAGGGTTAAAAAAGAGCTGGGAAACAAAAGATCATAACGAATTTTGAGCAAGCTATGAATTGGGAAGACGATGACCTCAATTTCCCATCGATGCTTGGAAGTGGGATTACAGCCTATGTATTCCCTTTCTAATATAAAGCCATTGAAATGCTCCATTTTTTTTCTTTACAAAATAGGAGCAAATCACAACAATAAACTCAACGCAATATCTTTGTTTGTAATTATTCCTTCTAGTTTAGAAGGGAAATGACATTGATTTGTAGACTAATAGTCTCAAGTAAAAACTCCTATGACACTTTAATAGTATGTGTGTGTAAGAGAGAGAGAGAGAAACCCCTCTCCTTTGTAGTTTAGACAATCGCTTATATTTTTATTTTTATTTTTTAAAAAAAGAGATGGGCTTTTATCCGTTTGCCCATATCATATATGTCATTTAATGTGTTACATGTATTATTTTTTACAAGAAAATCATAAAGTTGAAAAGTATTCACTTTCATTTTTCTCATTCAGTTGTTCATACGTTAAATTATAATTTACGTGTAGGAATGAATTATTCAGTTGTTCATACGTTCAATTATAATTTACGTGTAAGAATGAATTATTTAATACTCGTAAAGTCACTATCAAATATGGTGTGACCCTAGCTATTCTACATGTTTTACTCTTTCTTTTTTCAACTAAAAGAAATGGGGTTTTAAGCCTTACCTCATCCTTATAAATGCCATAACTTTGCTCAGAACAACACGAGTTATAATAATATTGTAGTAACCAAGCTATTACAAGGAAAAGGTAGAAGGAAAAAAAAAAATCTTATAATTAATTCAACTGATGTAGTTATCACTTGAAGACTCCTTAGTTTTATAAACTTTGATGTATAAATTCTTTATTGAATTTTATGAGATCTAAAGTTATATACAATTTTCATATTTATTTATGGGAGGTGATTTTCACACTCATCTTCTATCTACTTACACTCGTATTAAAAATTGCATGTTATAATAAAAAGTATGTTATATGGATATATACAAAGAGAAAAGAGTAAGCATGAAAAAGAAAGATCACTGGTTAAACTATGAAAGTCTTGGGTCTATGAAAAAGACCAATGAAGCTTGAAAGGTAGGAAACAATTTTTAGCCTCCCCTTTAAATTTCAATTATTTTTTAATTCACTAGTAACCAGTAACCAGCTGGTAAAAAATGCAAATTTTGAAGAAATTAAAAACAAAAAATTCAAGAAAGTCATATATGAAAAAAGATTCTCGAGTTCAAACCAACTCATCTATATGACCACAATTGTAAACACACGAGACACTCTGTATGTGAGATGGAGCCAACATGAGATGTGTAGGATTACAATGTAGGAGTCTCACATGTTTGTAGATGTAATCTCACAGATGAATTGGTCCGGCAGTTGGACTCGAGAATTTCTCCAACCAAAAAACCCTAGTGCAGCAGCAGCTGACATTACTTGCTATGTCATGGAGTGGTTATTAAGGACAAGTAAAAGGTTTGTAAACAAGTAGTAAAGTAACAATTAATAAGCAAGCAAAGCAAAAGTAAAGTTTCTTAATTTCCACTTATTCAGACTCTAATCATGAATTGTTAGCTTATAATTAAATGAGGCGACCATTCTGTGTGCATTTTTGCATGTGCAAGATTATGAGGTCGGTCATCATCAGGCAAGCCTTGGATCTCAGAGCCAATAATAGAGGAGCCATTCGAGAGTCTACAAGGGTCTTATTATTACCCCTATAGGCTATAGTGGTGGTTTGCAATGACCCATTTGCCCCTCTTGCTCTATGTATTAATTTTTCTTTTTCGTAATTATTGTTGCCCTTTGAATACAATGAACCCACTTTTTTTTGGGTCCTTTTTACTAATTAGGGACTTGCTCATCATGTCAATTGTCAACCCACAACGCCTAATACAATTCCATCACAAGAAGATTTTTCATTTTTGGTCAATAAAACGTTGGGTTGGTAAAACAATAGAACATACTCACAAGAAGGAAAGTGTTCACGTTTTAGGGCTTGAAATGCAACAATTAGAATTATTCCAATTCTTCAACTAATTTAATGATATTTTTTTTTTCTCAAAATTAAAATAAATCCTTTGCTGGATTTATACTCTCTCATTGAATAAAAAGAAAGTAAAATGCAAACATGGTCTCGCATAGTGAAAAAAAGTATTGACTTGTAGACCATCAGTCTCAGGTTCGAATTCTCATGACAACTTGATTGTGTGTGTGTGTGTGTGTGTCCCCTTATAGTTTAGACTATCACTCACTTGTATTAAAAAATAATAATATAGCATGTTAGATACTAGTATTTTATGTGTTATAAACAAATGAAGTTCATAAATGGTGTGGATATAAACAAATAAAAGAACTCCCATCATTTATAGTAAAAATTAAAGAACTAATTTTGGCGTGAAGGAATTGTTGAGAAATGGAGAAAGATATCAACTTACATATGTCGTTAGGAACGATATAGCCTATATAAACTCGCAAAGTGCACTTTATTTTGAACACATAGTATTAAGTGATTTGAGGTATCTCTGATATTATTTAGGACATTATCTTAAACTATGAATGTGCACGTAGTTTACATCCTCGTATTTTGACTCGATTAGTAAACTTTTTCTCGTAAACTTTTGCTCATTCGATTTGCAAGATTTGCTTATCTATATATATAAAGCAAAAGGCAGAGAATGGTGAAACATTCAAAATACCAGAAAATGCCCTTAGTTAATTCAAACATTAAGAATTGAAATTATTAATTAAATGAGGATAATATGGTAAATTTATATTTTTTCATATTAAAAAAATTAAAATTAAAAACAAAATCAGATACCAAACCCTACTTTTATAGAACATAACTGTCTATGCTATCTTTTCTTAATTCTAAAAATAAAATAAAAAAGAAAAATAAAACAAATTAGCACATGCATCAGTTAATTATTAACCAAAAGGTTAAAGATGGTGATGCCATTAATTAGTGCAAGCATGCCATTAATTAGTGACGTGAGTCTTGTGATTCACTATTATGGGCATTAAAGCAAAGCTTCTATGATTTCCGAACCACAACAACCAATTGCCCTATTTTCGTACGGATTTGAGTTTTTTTTTTCTCGAGAGGCAACTACCTCTGTATCGTTAGACTCATAACTCGACATTAACTTTTACATATGCAATTTATCCATATTTGTCATAAAACATTAAATACAAATTAATAAATCATATAAATGAGTTTTGTTTTTATTTTCATTTTCTAGGTTTTTAAAACAATAAAAAAAAATTATTTATTAGATGAGAAATTTAGCACACAAAAACCCCCACTGAAAACATCATGTTGGAGATGAAAAGAACAAGGAAACACAAAGAACCAATATACAAATAACTTTCATCATGTGCTGCACAATGGATGGCGATGGTGACGGTCAACAAAATGGTCAACAACACATAATCATATTTGGAAATTTTAGCCACAACAAATAATCATGTGTTAGTTTACTAGTGGTGGGTTAGTTGATATTGGTAAAGGGACAAAAGGGTAATTTTATAATAAACTAGAACAATTGTAAGATCAACAATTGCTTTGAAAAAAACATCAAAACAAAGCAAAATTTCTTACCATTACTAACTTTTGTTCTTTCTCAACTCTTTTGATAGCATGTAAAATCCAGCTAGTGCAAGCATAAGAAAAAGAATATTAAGTTGATCTAGCATAATTTTGAAACAAATCTCAATATTCTGAATAGCAATTGATATGATCATGTTTAATTCAGCAATGCTCTTATGTTTGTGTGTGGGCAACTGTCGCTAGCATTATACTTTGGATATTATTTCTCATCGCTGTTGTTCTAAGATTAAGCTACATTAACCATGGTTAACGAGAAAAACAAAACTAACCACAAACCCAACTCCCTAGGGGTCAACTAAGAGCCAAAGCCCCATTAGTCAGTGCCATTTTCAAGGACAGGTAGAGAGAGAAAAGAAAACACACAAAGAGAAATTTATTTTGATGTAGAGAGAGTGACAGAAAAGGGAGCATTGAGCATTGGGAAGAAGAGAGAGAAGAAAGAGAGGAGAGAAAGAAAGGAAATGTCTGGGTGTTGTAGGGGAAGATAGGGGGCAAAGCTTCAGCATTTGGTCTCTCTTAATCTCAGCAAACCCTCCTTTTTCTCTGCCCCTCTGTTCCCTCCTTTTACGTCGCCGTTTTGCCCGCTTCCCCTCGCCGGAAAGCTCATAACCTTTCCCGGGAAAATCTGCAACCTTTTCCGGGAAAGTTTTTTCTTTTCCATTTTTTAAAATCTTTTTTGGGGGCTGTAGACTTTGCTGAGCTGATCTGAGCTCAGCTGATAGAGAACTTGAAAATCTAGTTCGTTGATCTGAGTGCGTGGTCTGGGAGCCGAGAAGAGCTAGAAACGGAGCTCCATTTTATCGCCGATATATCTCCGGCGAGATGAGCAAGTGAGATTTTCCGGCAGTATATCCAGTCTTTCGAAGAACCCAAGTCGCCGGAGCAAACAATGAAGCCGCCCGCGAACGGAGCCGGAGCTGCGGCGGCCAACGGTCCATCCAATTCATGCGAAGGTCGGCACTTTCTCTCTCTATATTTATCTATGAGCTGCGCTCTGTCTCTCTCTCTCTCTCTCTAAAAAACACGAAAATCGGTGGATGGATCGATCGATACGGTTGTTGTGAAATTTTGTTTTGTCTGTTTTGGACTTCGTTTTGTTCGTTACAAGTATTTTTGTACGTACTCGGGACTCTCTAACTAACTGCCTCTGCTCCTCGGCAGTTATGTTGAGAGATTCCCAGAATCCAGATTCTTCTCTGTTTCAGTTGGTCCTTTATTTTCTTTCTCGTTTCCGTTTTCTGGGGAAACAAACGGAAAAAACGGGCCTTTTTTGATTGTTTGTGGGAGTTTCTGACGAATGAACGGGTGACACGTGTGCAGGGGGAGAGAATGTGAAGATCATAAACCCGGAGCTATGGCAAGCGTGCGCCGGGCCGCTGGTGAACTTGCCGCCGGCTGGGACCCACGTGGTCTACTTCCCTCAAGGTCACAGCGAACAAGTGGGTGTTTAAATGTTGTTGCTATCGTGCGCCGCCTGAGCGTTTCTGCTTATACTTAACATTCTACTCTCTACTTTCCTGAACTCATCAATGCTTATCATGATTTTTGAGTTCATTTATTGTGCAGGCCGCTTCTGTTAATAGCAATCTGTTGTTGACCTTCCTTTTCAATGCTTTGTTAATTTTAGAAAACACATGGTTTTTTATGTAATTTTTTTTCTTTTAGGTGGGATATAAATTTTCACTTAATAAAGCAGATGGGGTTGATGGGTTTGAACAATTTAGGATTAACGGAAAAAGAAAACAATACTATTTATTTTTGTTGTTGTGGGTATCCCCATTATATTTACTCTTCTTGTTTTTGTTCAACATTGTTGTGGTAGCTAAGTACTTGGTTAGATTTTAGTAATTACATTTAGTTATTGATCTTTGTTTTTTGTTTTTTTTGTGTGGAGAATTTCCTCGGGTCTTTTCGTTCTATCTTTCCAAGTAGATGGTGAAATTAAAGTTTTAGTTTTTTTGTATTGAGCAATCATCATACAGGATAAGTTTGATATTTGAAGTTATAATATGTATGAAGTTGTATTATGTCCTGACTTGAGAGTGAAATTTCTGATTTCAGGTTGCGGCATCTATGAAAAAGGACGTGGATGGTCAAATACCAAACTACCCGAATCTTCCCTCCAAGCTACTATGTCTCCTTCACAATGTCACCTTGCATGTATGGCTGATTTTATCTGTTTTTAAGTATTACCTTGCCAATACATTATATTTTTGATCATTTCAAATTGATTTTCTCACTTATGTATGATGTTCTAGGCGGACCCCGAAACGGATGAAGTTTATGCTCAGATGACACTTCAGCCTGTTTCCTCGGTAAGGGCTGTTCAAAATGACTAGTAAATCATTATGTTCTGATAATACTTTGGACATACCCTTCTGTTACTTTTAAGTAAAATTCCTTTGTTTTTTAGATGGTAAAAATTTCTATGAAAAAAAAAGATGGTAAAAATTTCTGGAAACTGAATTCCTCAACTTCTTGGTCTGCAGTTTGACAAGGATGCATTGTTGAGATCAGATCTTGCCCTCAAGTCAAATAAGCCCCAACCAGAGTTTTTCTGTAAAACATTGACAGCAAGTGATACAAGCACTCATGGAGGTTTCTCGGTGCCCCGTCGTGCAGCAGAAAAGATTTTCCCTCCTCTCGTAAGCAGTTTTACCTCATTTCCAAGGTTTGCCACACTAATTACAAAGTTTAATAGTGCTCCTGTTTCTACATAGGATTTCTCCATGCAACCACCTGCTCAAGAACTTGTCGCCAGGGATTTGCATGATACTGTTTGGACTTTCCGCCATATCTATCGTGGTATGTTCTTTATTTGGCCATTGGAATTTGCATTCATGGATCAATTAGGTGCCATCATGATCATATATCTAAACATCTGTTATTCGTTGTTTTGCTTAATGCAGGGCAACCAAAACGCCACTTGCTTACAACAGGATGGAGCCTATTTGTTAGTGGGAAGAGGCTTTTCGCTGGCGATTCTGTCTTGTTCATTAGGTATTCACAATGAATTGAAAATCTTAGAGGTTTCTGTTTTTGAGCATTAATTTCTGCTTGTAAGTAGGATTCATTGGTAAAAAGGCCTCGTTCAAGTTATATATATAGGTTTTTATTTTTCTTCTCTCTTATGCACTTGAAAATATATTAAGTGCAAAAACAAACTCTTATGGTGAAACACACTTTCCGTGATCAGGGATGAAAAGCAGCAGCTTCTTTTGGGAATTAGACGCGCTAACAGGCAACCCACCAACCTATCATCTTCAGTATTATCAAGTGATAGTATGCACATTGGGATTCTAGCGGCTGCAGCTCATGCTGCCGCTAATAATAGCCCCTTCACAGTGTTCTACAATCCTAGGTTAACATCTTTCATTCTTTACTCTAAAATATCTTCTTTATTCTACATGTATAGAATCCTAGATTGGGGGAGTGAATCACTTGTTGTCACTATTTAAAAGAATTCAGTATATTTATTCTGAAATTGTATTGAAATGTTCTTGTCTATATGCAGAGCCAGTCCATCAGAATTTGTTATCCCATTAGCCAAGTACTACAAGGCAGCTTGTGGCAACCAACTATCTCTGGGGATGCGATTTCGTATGATGTTTGAAACTGAAGAGTCAGGAACAAGAAGGTAGTTGTATACTTGTCTTTCAGTCTATTGTTCAGGATTTTGGCAATCCTGGCAGTAGTGATCTGGCAGATAATTCACAATTAGACTTTACAAACTAGAGATGTTGATGACTTGACAGGGTTTTTAAGTTACTCATCCAGTTCCTTCAGTTTTGAAAAATAAAAATCTTACGGTAATTTTGGAATTGAACATGAGAAGCTTTTGTTGTACAGGTACATGGGTACAATTACAGGAATTAGTGATCTTGATTCTGTTAGATGGAAGAACTCACAATGGCGCAATTTGCAGGTAAATGTGACGGAAACTTCTTGTTATCCTCTCTCCCCTTGTTGGTCATGTAAAATAACCCAAAATCCCCGACATATCTATGAATAGGTTGGTTGGGATGAGTCAACTGCTGGGGAAAGGCGTAATCGGGTGTCAATGTGGGAAATTGAGCCTGTTACTGCTCCATTTTTCATTTGTCCCCCACCATTCTTCAGAAATTCTACTAGTTCTTTATTGTCTCAGCTTAATTTGTGTAGTCTTTAAGCAACTCTCAACAAGTAAAAAGGATGAAATTTCCCTACTTAGATTGGACCCAGACCAGGTGTCAATTAAGACAATCTTAGTGCACATTGCTTTCTGCTTGGTAAGAACTGTCTGGGGTAATGGTGGATGGTATCCGCTGAATTTGATAATGAACGAAAATAAGAAAAACAGTGAATGATATGGGATGGATTGATAGGACTGATTTTTGTCATTCATCTTGTTATGATCAATGTTTGATCTTTTGACTTGAATATTATCTTTTCTGTGATCCATTGTATGTGACATGGCACAAAACATACTAAATGATGTTTAAGTCCTTTGGAAGCTTCTCTATTCTTTTCCTGGCGTTGTTTTATACCTCCGTGTGAGCCATCCAGAAACAGGCCCTTGAAAACTTCACGACATTTTGAATTTGGAATTTTAGTGGAAGGACATCTAACCACCTTTGATTTTTCCTTTTGCAGATGAGGAATCCTCTGATTTAGATAATCTTTTTAAGAGGACAATGCCTTGGCTTGGTGATGATATGTGCATGAAGGATCCCCAGGTTCTACCTGGCCTGAGCTTAGTCCAGTGGATGAACATGCAGCAAAATTCTTCTGCGGGTAACTCCATACAGCCAAATTACATGAATTCCTTTCCTGGTTCTGCTCTGCAAAACCTTGCTGGAGCGGATCTTTCTCGGCAGTTGGGCATGTCAGGGCCTCAAATACCTCAGTTGAGCAATTTACAATTTAATGCCCAGAGAATACCTCAGCAAGCACAACAGCTTGATCAACTCCAAAAGCTGCCATCCACAATGAACCCATTAGCATCCATGATCCAACGACAGCAACAGTTGGGTGATATTACTCAACAACCCAGGCAAAATTCGTTTAATCAATCTCTACCCTCCAGCCAAGTTCAATCCCAGCTTCTGCAACCTCAGACTCTTGTCCAAACTAATAGTATCCTTCAGCAGCAATCATCTAGTCAAAACCATCTTCAAAGAAACCTCCCTCAGAACCTGCAGCAGCATCAGCAGCAACAACAGCAGCAGCTGCATCAACAACAGCAGCAGCTGCATCAACAACAGTCAACAACAGCACAGCAGCTGCATCAACAACAGCAACAGCATCAACAGCAACAGCCGCAGCATCAACAGCAGCAGCAGCATCAACAACAAATTGCGGGTCAAAATCAACAGCAATTTCAGTCTCAACTTCCTGATCAAATAAACCAACAGTTGCAACATCTTTCTGATAATCAGCTTCAACTTCAGCTGTTACAGAAGCTTCAACAGCAACAGCAGTCGCTTTTGACACAGCAGGCACTGCAACAGCCTGCTCAACTTATCCAACTGCAGGACCAGCAGAGGCAACTGTTAGATGTGTCCCAGAGCTTCTCCAGGCCTTTGACTCCCACCCAAATTCAAGATATGCCTCAAATGGCACCAACCTCGCATCCTCAGTCAAGAACAATGCCACAGCAGCTGACAAAGAATAATAACAGCCAAACTAATGTTCGGTTTTCTCATCCACCTCAGCAGCCAAAGCTTCAACAGCAGCAACCTGTTATGGTGCCTGAAATGTCCGGGCATATGGGACTTCTCCCAACCCCAACAACCAATCAACTCTCTACAGCTGTAAGCAATGTAATGACAGGAGGTGCAGGAGCAGGGCAGTCTGGGATTACAGATGAGGTTCCATCTTGTTCAAATTCACCATCCACAAACAACTGTCCAAGTTTAATTCAACCATTAATGAACAACAGAGCCCATCGAAACTCATTAGTCGGGGAGGACATGGCTCAGTCCGCCACCACAATCTTGAGTCCTAGTGCCATAGAAACAATGCCATTGAATGGTAACTTATTGAAAGATTTCCAGCTTAAGTCTGATGTTAAGCCTTCAGTGAACATTGCTAGCAATCAAAGTCAAGGAATTCTTACAGCACAAACGTACCTGAACAGTGCAGCTGTCCAGACAGATTACTTGGACACATCATCTTCAACAACTTCAGTGGGCATCTCTCAAAATGATGTCAATTTACAGCAGAATAATGCCCCATTGTCTTTCAATCCACAATCAATGTTATTCAGAGAAGCCAGTCAAGAAGGGGAAGTTCAGGCAGATCATAGAAACAATGTTTCATATGGTTCTAACATTGATGGCCAATTGGGGATACCCTTGAATCCTGATCCTATGTTGGCCAAGGGCACGGTGGGGTTAGGAAAGGATTTTTCAAATAATCTCTCTTCGGGAGGCATGATTGGCAACTATGAAAATGCAAAAGATGCTCAGCAAGAACTTTCATCTTCAATGGTTTCCCAGTCCTTTGGAGTTCCAGATATGGCATTCAATTCAATTGACTCAACCATAAATGATAGTGGCTTTCTGGACAGTGGCCCATGGCCTCCAGCACCTCAATTTCAGCGAATGAGGACATACACCAAGGTTCGATAATTTAAATTAAAATTCAAAATACATTATGAAGCTATCCATTTTAAGTATTTAAGATTATTTTTTCTTTTGCTCTAACTTGGCTATTGTTTCTGTAAAGGTGTACAAACGTGGAGCTGTAGGGAGATCTATAGATATTGCACGCTATTCAGGTTATGGTGAGCTTAAACAAGATCTGGCTCGTAGGTTTGGTATAGAGGGACAGTTAGAGGACCGAGGGAGAGTAGGCTGGAAACTTGTGTATGTAGATCATGAGAGTGATGTTCTGCTAGTTGGAGATGACCCTTGGGAGTAAGTCTTTTAGCCCCATTTCTGCTTAAAATTTTGAATATATCATGGTCATGCACACATCTATGCATAATTTTCCTGTTTGAATAACTTGGCTGGAGATTTTCAAGTTCCTGAAGTTGAATGTTCGATTGTGCCAAATTAGCATGACATATATTTGTCCCTGGGCAGTGTTTTGCATCAAGACTTGTTTATTACGTAACATTAAGGGCCAAAAGAATTAAGAGTCTTGTACATGATTTTTCATTGTACTTGTTTCTTAATTGTTGGTCTTGCCTATTCCAGGGAGTTTGTAAACTGTGTTCGCTACATCAAGATCCTGTCCCCACAAGAAGTCCAGCAAATGAGTTTGGATGGAGACTTTGGTGGCAACGCTGTGCTTCCAAATCAAGCTTGCAGCAGCTCAGATGGTGGGAATGCCTAATGTAGTGTACCAAAATGCTGACAATTTTTCTTCCTGGTAGGAGCCTTTAGATGTTTTTAAGAAAATCTTTCATGGTAATCAGCACGGTATGACCAAAGTTTGGTCTTTCTGGTCATCACTTACCACTTGCTGGAGCAAGCAAGTTGAGAAGTGATCTTTTAATAGTTGAGGGTGGCTTCCAACTTTGTGGCCCAGCTTACACAAGCAGTGGAAAGAAGCTGAAGTTCTGAACAGAGTATCCTTGTCTGAGATTTCTTGAGTTTCTAGTTGGTCCGAGTTCTGTTCAAGGGAGGGCCAAATTCTGGGCAAGTGAACAACGTAGCATGGCATATTTATATTTGCCGATGCGAAGATGATCGGCGAAGATGATGTGCTGAAGTCAATTTAAGATTCATTTGCCTTGTACTTTTCTTTTTCTTCCACATTGGAATTCTCCCACGCAAGTACATTGTAAAGAGCATTGTAGCATGGAATTCTTATCGTTCAGTTTCGAGTGTATATTAGATTTCGAAAGTGAAATCGGTTATATAAATTTCGAAAGTGATTGATGTAAACACATTGTGTCAAACAGACCGACCAAGGCTACAATTGGGAATCAAAGGAACAAAATGTTGACGGAAATTTTTTGCCAATCAAATTAAGCTGAACAAAGCAACATGCATACGTGTTTGATGCGCAGGATTGGATTGAATTGTCATTTACGATTAACCAGATTTAATACTGAACGGGATGGACTAAACGAGATCTTTGGCGCATAAGACTGGCCGTATCAATTCAATCTCTTACTAGAACTCAGGTCGTGTCAATGGCGCTTAATTTATCTTAGGTTTTAACTATAAAAAAACTTTCACTTTTGGAAAAAGACAAGGCTTTTTCAAAAAAGACAGAAAAACCTATCAACTTTCAAATCAAAGACATGCAAATGTAAAAGATTCATTAGGAAATCCAAAAATAAATAAGGGCAATTTTGTCTATTTTGACTTCTTTTAAAAAATTTCTCTCTCCTTTTGCTTTTTCCAAAGTCTCTCTTGGGATAAAATATCCAAACTAGTTCAGAGTAAGAGGTTTTAAGTAACGTGAAGTGAAATTGAACCAAAGGGGTCCAATCCCATTCGTCCCACATGAAACGGGGGCTTTTGCTTCTCACAATTTTCAAGTCTTTCCTCTAGCAATTCTGGGTATCAACATATTTCCCGGGTTCCAGGCAATTTGATTGTTTCAAAATTAAGATCAATTATCAAACAGTTAAGAATCCATGCACCCGCGCATCATCTTCTAGTTTGAAAGGCACACAAATAATTTCAATAGTTCGAGAATCCATCTTATTCTCTTCATAAGCTACTTATCAAATCATTTCATTGTACGAGATGGTAATGAAACTGCAAAGTAAAACTTTCCAAATACATACTGAAATGCCCCCCGGCCAAAAACTAGGATAAGAGAAAGTGTGTCATTCATGGTGTCACCGGGGATTACCTAGTCTTATAGATGAAAATCCTCAAGTTACCATCATGTCAGGACCAGATGATGACAATATATCCAGCAGTGAATTTTGGGGTTCTAGCTCCTCATGCCAGAGTGGAAGGGTGTCACCTGGATAGTAGTTTCTTGTCACCCCCTCTGAATTAATCTGCAGAACAGAGTATACAATCACCAGAAAATAAGTGGAAGGAAGATAGACGGCCATACAAGAATGAAAACCATATAAAGTCCATAGGTACTTGGCTATTTTTAAGCGGGAAAACGGTAATTAAAAAAAAAAACTATTAAGAATTTTTTTAAAAAATACTGTTAGGAAGCAAGTTGTTCTCCTGAAAGGTTTGAGTTCAATCCTCACAACCTCCGATTAACAAAACAACAAATCCATCGCATTAGGAAGGCAACAGATTGTGTTGCCACAGGCATTACTATATGCTATATAAGTAAATAGCTTGATGTAAGCATCATATACTGCTTAATTTCAAGCTCATAAGAGAAGCATGTCACTGCAATAACAAGCATTGCACTTATGCCCTTTCATTGTTTTTTTTTTTTTTTTTTTGAGAATCGGAATCTTGAACAAGTTAGAAGCGAGGCTATGGCTGCAGGTACATTGGCAGGGAACTAGATCTTTCTACTCCCCAAACCATAAAGTAATTGCATAGTGTACAATAAAAGAAAAACTCACAATGACAGTCCGAACAACACCACCACTAGCACCATCCCGAGCAATAGCAAGAGAAACTGCCTTCACCACCAATCTCTACAGTAAATTAACAGCCATTGCTTTAATGATCAATTCTAGAAAGTACTAATGCATCAAGGAAAAAGTTAGTTTCTAAGGACAAGGTGGATGCGATCAAGGAACTATGTATTGGTGTCGATGAAAACTGAAGCTTGGAGATACACAAATATCAACAATGATGACAAACCAAATCTTAGCACATTACTAGTAACAAGGAAGCCACCAATGAAGCAATAGAAAAGTCTGTAAAAAACATAAAGACTACATACCTCAGCTTCCTCTTTGGTCATTCCTTCCTTCCACTCTTGATCAAAGAAGCCATACAGATAAGTGGAGCCAGATCCTGGATGACAAAATATTGTTGAGAGCCATAAACTTTAATAGCATTCAAGTGGCAACAAAAATTTAAACAGAGTGCATGTGCATTTACTCAAACCACTTCAACCATGACCAGGGAAACAATAGAAACGGTTGATGAAATCATACCTCCAATGGCAAAAGGTTGCTCCAAAATTGTCCCTCCAAGTGGCACTCCATATATTTTACCTCCTTCGTACTTGTCCCAACCACCAATAATCAAGCCAGTTTGTAGCATATTCTACCAATTTTAAAAATAACACAAAAGAAATGAGAACTACAATAGGAAATAAGGAAATACCTGAAGAACCATAGCAATCTTATTAAATGTTGTACTTCAATAATAAGTAAACTCCACGCTCAGTCTAACAAATTTTCAAATAGTTTCCAGGAAGTTGCTAGAAATAACTTGACCTCTATCCAGCTCACTTTTAAACTCTTTGTACTTTCTGATAAACTATTAACATTAAAAAGTAACAAATCCAATTCCCAAACTTTTGTTATGGAGTACTTGTAAACCTATGACATTTAATCTTGTTTATTTACCAAACATTCAAATGTAAATCAGTGGAAATTGTGAAAACAAATAGGAAAACTAAAAGAATCTAAACAAAGATAAATTTTTTGTAGAAGTTAGAACGATCAACATTTTCAAAATTTTTGAATGACGAAAACGGAAACTAAAGGTAAAATAAAAGAATAATAGAAGCAAACCTTGTTATTGTATGCGAACAGCCTGATAAGGTTTGCGGCAACCTTGACTGTTGCAGGCTGTCCCTGCTGTATCCTACATAAAAGAGAGAATTTTGAATGACAATTGAAATAGTAGTAAACATTAATGAATGGAAAAACACAATGTAGTGCAAAGCTTAAATCTGGCATCTTAATTTCCAAAATTTAAAAATTGCTTACTACCACAAGTTTCAAATGTTTACAACTTCAATCTTTTATGCATAACTTTGAATACTATTTATCAGTTCCACGATGGTTCACGTTTCATTAAATTTTCAGCAAGAAAACATAATGCTCAAAGAAAATAAAAGCATTGTGCAAGCCCAAACACATATGGTGGTGCAACAAAATGAAATACAAGAGATGCACCAGAAGTTGCTGATTTACTTACGTGTGCTGATGGAGAAAATGACGGACATAATCTGATAGAACTTGAGAATCTGCAGCCTGAGAATAGAAAATTAAATAGATTAACAACAGAAGTAGAGCAACTACAAAATCTTCAACCAACACACCCAAAAGAGAAAATCCTTAAAGTTACTTATCTGTCAAACAATGTTCCCGAGGGATTATGATCCAAAAGGAAAATAACAAAGCAAGAGAAAAGGGAGATAAAGAATGAAATAGGCAAAAGTGGTTAGGAAGGATAAATCTGCCAATATTCATGGAAGGGGTATTAGCTCTAGATATATTAAGCAGCAAAAGAAAATTTATGCGGTCAATCGGAATTAGATTCTGATAAGGATCCGTGTGGCCAACCCCAAATAGGGATTAAGGGCGAGTCAAATTGAGTTGTTCTTGTTTCTATGGCATGCTAAAGCCTAAAATACTAACCAGACACCAAGCCTGACCTTTTCTATGCCCAAAATCTGAGGACATTGAGATGACTTTATCTTGCTGATTTTTCTTACTAAAAGAATTTTTGTTGTGAGAATTGTTTCAACTATGCAGGTAATTGAAAAGTTAACATCTTTCTGTATATGATTAATTGAAGTAGTTCAGCTATTTTGTTAGTATACTTAAACGGAAGTATACAATACAAGACATACTTTAGCAAGAAAGAAAACAAAAACAACTTTACACATGTATGCAAACAACCGAAATCATAAACAAGAACAACAGCATTAAATAAAAACAATAAATTTAAAAAAGAAAAAGTAAAAAGAGGAAGGAACGGCACAAGTAGACATTATCAGTGAGCTGAGTGATCTTATCGGATGCCCGATTCGCAACATAAACACCTAATAATCAACAACAACAACAACAAAAAGCCAAATTCCGTGAAAAATCAAATAAAAGATCCAAATATTTTTCTCCAGTAAATTTGAACTTGACGTGAGAGTTTGCAGAAACCTCAAAGTCCTTAGGTGTATCGAAAATAAAAGAGAGAGGGATTACCAGTGCTGGTTCGAGAATCGGCACCGAGGACGACGCCGCCATTGTAGGTGACGCCGATGATGGTGGTGCCCATGGAGTGTGGGGCATTCAGGTCATTCTGCATGGACTGATCCATTTTCAGAAAAGCCGCGACGCCAGAAGTCGAGATTGGAAGAGAAATAAGGCAGCAGAGAGTCGGAGACCAGGAAGAGGAAAAAGCACTGCTTTCTTTCTTGTGTGGGAGGAAAACAAAAAACCAAAGTTCTAAAAGTGAAAACCAAAAACAAAAAAAAATATAAAAAATAATGGGGCATTCCGAGAATTGAACTCGGGACCTCTCGCACCCTAAGCGAGAATCATACCACTAGACCAAATGCCCTTTGTTGACAGCTTACTGAAGAATAAATTATGTAACGTATATTTTACATGTCAGCTTTGAGACAAGCATGGTCATTGCCGTAACAAAATGTTATATACGACCTATACATTCGGAAGCATAAATTTAAACTTGAGTGACTAGTTTAAGGCCTAGTTTTCAGACCAAAAAAAAAAAGTTTAAGGCGTTTGAGATTGCTGCCACTTTAAAAAAAAGCGGCTTCTGCTGTGCTTTAAAAAGAATCAGCTGTAAAGTAAAGCAGTTAAACGTTTGGTAAACTGTAATTTTAAAAGTGCTGTGAGTATGAAAGCAGTGTTAGAGCGTTTGGTAAATTTTACCATAAAAGTGCTGTAACTATTTATAATGACTAAAATATACATGATGCTGAAAGTGCTTTTTACTAATCTGTTTGATAAAAAAAAAAAAAAAATTTGAAAGGGCTTTTATATTTTTCCCCTTAAAAATTTTTTTATTTTTTGTTTAAAAAAGAATAAACTCCAACAAAGATAATTATGTATTGAATAAATTCCAACAAAGATAAAGAGATCACCACGGTAGTAGGTTCATACACCATCCTTCATATTGAATAAGTAATAAATATTTTTTTTGACAAATCCTTTGTCCTAATAAGGTTTGAATTGTAGCAATAAAAAAATATTGAAACTAGGCTTAAATAAATGGAAATAAAGAAACTGTCTAAGAAGATGCATGCATTAAACTTGCAGCAATCTTGTTCCTTAATGTTTCTAGTTCTTGTGCTCCAGGCCCTTGAGTAATATGATATTCTTCTTGTGCATCACCCTCCATCTCCATTGCATTTGGGTTGTCATTCACTTTGTCAAAATGAATATCACGTTGGGCATGCCTCCTTATATAGTTGTGAAGTGCCATAGTTGCAATTACTATCTTCACTTGCTTATCGAATGGATAGCTAGGCATGTCTTGTAAAATACTCCACTTTTTCTTCCATACACCAAAAGTGCGTTCAATGACACTCCTAAGAGTGTACGTGATTAAATACTTCTCTAGAACCTGTTGGTTGAGTACCCCTACAAAATCTGGAAGATGATACCTCTCACCTTTATATGGTCCTAAATACCCGCTCATTTGTGGGTAACCCGCATCCACAAGATAATATTTGCCTGTAACCAATAAGATATGTTTAATTATAATATAATTTGAAAGTGCGAAAATTTGAAGTTTAATGATATGTACATATTTGAAACATTACCATTTGGAGGTTTGAGAAAATTTAAAGCATTATTTCGTAACGCTGATAAAAATACTCTTGTATCGTGTGCAGTGCCTTCCCAACCTGCACATGCAAATATGAATTACATGTCAAAATTACATAGTTGTGAACATTTCTCTTTTCTCTTGATTTAGGAATAACCGAGTTGCAAAAAACCACAAATGGCTCCCAGGCCCTGCACCAGGTAAAGACGAAACTGCTTTCATCACTTCAGTAATGCTGCTACCTTGGGACCCTTTCATCATCATTGAAGTTGTACTCCTATTCTCCATTACATCAACCATCCGCTCAATTTGTTGTGACAATTTAACAGCACCTCTTACCTTCCCCACTTTTGTAGCAACTCTATTTCCGTTCTTCTCTTTCTTAAGTTGTGTATCAAGTTGTTGATTTGTTCTCTTTTTCCCCTTCTCGCAATATTTCTCAGTAACTTGAATTGTTTTGTCTGGTACGTATACAGGATCATCAGAATCATCACCACTGTCGAGTATAATACCATCACATTTGGATGAATCATAAGTTGGAAGTACACCAGATGAAGGTGCCCAAGCATGGGCACCAGTGGCATTGGTGTTCATGAACATTCTATCAAACTTCTCTTCCATGTCAGGACTAATACTCTTTCTACGTAATTTTGCATATTTTGGATTTATCTACAAATCAAAGAGAACAACATTAAAAACTATTACATATGTTTCATTGAATTATAATAAACAAACAACATTAAAAAATATTAATAACATACCTCAATTTTGGTATGCCACCATTCGTCAGAAGCATCAATAGTCCCAAGTTTGGAATTCCACCCAAAACCAGTTTCTTTTCCAATTAGTTCTTTCCATATTTTCCATTGTTCCTTAAGTGCATCCCACTTATTTTTCAATTGTGATTTATCATACTCGGCTCCTGTCTCTTTACTCATGCTAATCCTCACATTTTCCCATCCTTCTTTCTTAAAGTGAGTACCAGGACGATTACCTGCCTCCACCTCCTTGATACATAAGTCACAAAATATAGTTGTATTCTGATTATTCGATACAGCCGGAACTCGTGATCCACTAGCCACATTATTATTCTTCACCATCTGGGCATGTCCTTATATAAATATGTATGTATTGGGAGATGAACATGTTATAGCAAATAATGTTTTTACTAAAAACATGCATAGTGCCTAAGTAATTACCTATAGGAAAATTTGGGCAAAACTACATACATCAAAAGCAATACACCATGTCGTACAAGATGACAAGGATTCAAACACACTCCCATATATTTTTCCCTTATTTTTTGAGTCTGCAGTTTTGATATTTATTCATAAAAGATTAATAGAAGCCAAAGAAATAAAGGGAATTAAAAGTTTGCAGCAAAATTAGTTTAGCAAAACTAGTTACGGAAGACATGCGAAGGTGAGTTCTATTCAAATTTGTTCTTGAATGAATTATCTCAAATTATTCATAAACTTTAGAGCAGCTGTATAACAAATTAGTTTTGCTGGTTGTAACAGATTTTGACTGGCATTGCTGGCCTCACAGTTTTGGCTCTTAGCTTGTGGAGATATTCAAGAAGACCCTAAAATCGTAGGTGACATTGACATAACAGAGCTCTAGATACATGAAAAGCGCCAAGGTTCCGGTAATAAGTTTAGGACGGTTCTTTTTTTCAATGCTCAATGATTTGAGGTGTACATATAAGCTCAATAATAGCTGAATTTCTGTAGAACCATAATTTATACAGAGGATAAGATACTAAGATGGAAGCAAATACAAATTTATTTGGCCCCATTCGAGGCTTGTAACATGAGTGTGTATTTCTCCTTTGTAACTTCCTGGCATGGACACCTTTATGCTTAAAGAAACTATGGACAACTAGTAGAAAAAATTTGAATGTATATAAAACCAGTAGAAACCATGGACAACCAGTAGGAAAAACAAAACAAAAACAAAAAAACAAGAGCAGCACATATATAGAAAGTTTGAGAGATTGAAGAATCTAACCTTGTCAAAGAGATTGAGAGAGATTGAGCGAATGGTTGTTTCCAAACTTGGGAGGCTACGTGAAGATGAACTTTGGTGTTTGCAGATTTGAGAGAAATACGTAGGATAGATTTCTAACCTAATAAGGGTATTTGTGGAATTGGGAAAATTTCATTAAAGGGAGCGCGCTGCTTCAATTAAAAGCTGCTGTCAAAAGACCATTGCTTTTAAAATAAGCAGGATATTTTATTTTTACCAAACACCTTAAACTGCTTAACTTTAAAGTTAAGTAAGTTTTTGGCGAAAAAAAGCAATCCCAAATGGGGCCTAACTCCCCCCCAAGAGTAAATTTAGGTTTTAGCCATACAAAAAATTTCACTTTTGGAAAAAGCCAAAGCTTTTTCAAAAAAGATAGAAAAACCTCTCAACTTTCAAATCAAAGACATGCAAATGTAAAGGATTCCTTAGGAAATCCAAAAATAAATAAGGGCAATTTTGTCCATTTTGGCTTATTTTAAAATTTTTCTCTCTCCTTTGGTATTTTCCAAAGTTTGGCACTTAAATGTTTTTGTTCATTGAATTTAAGCTAACGACCTCGTTCCATATTGAGAAAAGAAGAATTAATAGAATATTTTTTTATTTATTTATAAATGATAGTTTAAACTAGACTAAACAATTTATTTTGAAATATGGGAACGAAAATTCAAACTTAGGCGAGAGGGACGAACACAGTTTTTTTTGTGTCGAATTGTCAAGTGAATTATATTTGTTAACATATGCAGAGCAGAGGCCCATATTCTCATCTAATTTAGTAGTAGCAAGCTCATGAAACTATTTGTTAGTCTGAACTCCCATTTCAATGAAGAACATTGGACACAATACACTTGAAACATGCCAGGTATAAAAATGACTTTTGCCTTATGATATTCATTGCAAATGCGTTGATTCAACATTAGATACAATGACTAAATCTCAATGGCTTTAACTCTGCACACATGACAGTTGAAGATCTGGCCAGAATTTTAACGCAATTTATGTAAACATAGTCATGGGCAGTATGACCATCACTAGTTGAAACCTTGAACTGCACAATTCATTTGCCTTTCTTGGTTGCAGACTTGGTGACCTTGGCTCTAGTAAGATCCTTCTTATCCACATTCTTGATAACTCCCACGGCCACAGTTTGACGCATGTCTTTGTTTCCCTCTTTTCGGCTGAGACGACTGACAGAAGGAAGTTTTGGTCTTTCTTCTTTTGAAAGCGGGGCATGCCACCATCAAGACCCGAATTTGGGCTTGAATGGAATGTGAATAGATGTATGTGTTGCGCTTCTAACTTCTGATCAAACGATTGATTGGCCAAGCAAGGAACCTCTTCTTGACCTAGATTCTTTCACTTTCTTGGGCTCGAGGATGGTTAGGTTTCGTACGGATGTTTTTGTGATTTTTAGGGTCTCAAGTAAAAATAATGCAATTAAACTAAATATGCTTATAAAAGTAAAGACAAGAATTAAAGTGCGATAAAATAAATGAAAGCGATAAATAAAGCAAGAACAATGTAAAAGTGATAAGAACGATAAGAACGATAAAATAAAACAAACTTGATATCAAACTTAATTGAAGTGCGATAACAATGAAATGTAA